ACCGCAGCCTCCATCTCCTGAGTTTGAGTGAGCACGCCGGCTAATTTATGTTTGTTTGTTTTGAGATGGAGTCTCGCTCTGTCGCCCAGGCTGGACTGCAATGGCACGATCTCGGCTCACTGCAAACTCCGCCTCCCGAGTTCAAGTGCTTCTCCTGTCTCAGCCTCCTGAGTAGCTGGGATTACAGGTGCATACCACCATGCCTGGCTAATTTTTGTATTTTTAGTAGAGACGGGGTTTCATCATGTTAGTCAGGCTAGTCTCGAACTTCTGACCTCATGATCTGCCTGCTTCGGCCTCCTAAAGTGCTGGGATTACAGGCGTGAGCCACCGCACCCAGCCTGTGTTTTTTTTTTTTTTTTTTTTTTTTTTTTTTTTTGAGACGGAGTCTCACTCTGTCCCCCTGGCTGGAGTGCAGTGACATAATCTCGGTTTGGTGCAACCTCCATCTCCCAGGTTCTAGTGATTCTCCTGCCTCAGCCTCCCTAGTAGCTGGGAATACAGGTGTGTGCCACCATGCCTGGCTAATTTTTATATTTTTAGTAGAGATGGGATTTCACCATGTTGCCCAGGCTGGTCTCGAACTCCTGACCTCAAGTGATCCTCCCACCTTGGCCTCCCAATGTGCTGGGATTACAGGCGTGAGTCACCGGGCCCTGCCTTTTCTTTTCTTTTCTTTTCTTTTTTTGACGGAGAATCTTGCTCTGTCACCCAGGCTGGAGTGCTGTGGCAAGATCTCGGCTCACTGCAAGCCCCTCCTCCCGGGTTCATGCCATTCTGCTTCAGCCTCCCTAGCAGCTGGGACTACAGGCGCCCGCTACCACACCCGGCTAATGTTTTGTACTTTTTAGTAGAGACGGGGTTTCACCATGTTGGCCAGAATGGTCTTGATCTCCCAACCTCGTGTTCCGCCTGCCTTGGCCTCCCAAAGTGCTGGGATTACAAGTGTGAGCCACCGCGTTCGGCTGCCTTTTCTATTTAAAATGTTTTAACAGGGAAATTCTGCTAAAACTGGGACATGTACATAATGTACATTTCGTCTGGGGTGCGGCATGCGCATTGGGTTGGGGTGGAAGGGATGCGAACAGGATGGGGACACCATGGCGTGGGGACCCTTGTGGAATCTCACCCTCTGGGCGGCCGGTTGCTTCTCCAGCCTCATTTCATTTGATGACCTTTCCACTTGCCCCACCCCAGGGCGGCTGTTGCAGGAGGAGAAGGAAGTGTGTGCCTGTCCCAGGGCCAGCCTGGGTCCCATCTGGGGAGAATTCCACAGGATGAAGCGAGCGGGCCGTCGCCTGTGACCCCCGCTTCATAAATCGAGTATTTCAGCGAATCCTGCCCTGCACACATCCTGGGGCACTTGCATGGAGCCCGTGACTTTTTGGTGTGTTTGGAGACAGACTGTGCTACGGAGATGGATGTGAGGGCTGCCCATGCTCTCCAGAGACAGAAGCCAGCACACATGACCAAGTCAAGCGCTGTTTATTTACGATGAAAATACCCAGCTTGGGGGGCCGGGCACGGTGGCTCATGCCTGTAATCCCATCACTTTGGGAGGCCGAGACGGGTGGATGGCTTGAGGTCAGGAGTTTGAGACCAGTCTGGGCAACATGGTGAAACCCCGTTTCTACTAAAACTACAAAAATTATCTGGGCGTGGTGGCGGGTGCCTGTAATCCCAGCTACTCGGTAGGCTGAGGCAGGAGAATTGCTTGAACCTGGGAGGCGGAGGTTGCAGTGAGTTGAGATCGTGCCACTGCACTCCAGGCTGGGCGACGGAGCAATACCCTGTCTGAAAACAAAACAAAACAAAAAATACCGAGCTGGGAAAACAGCCGATAAAAAGCTGTAGGTTGTCTCTTTGGGGCCACAGGTGGTATACCCTAGGTCCACGTGGGCCTCAGACTTGGGGGCAGGGCCATCATGTTGTCTGGAGGATTTTGTTTGTTTGAGATGGAGTCTCGCTCTGTTCTCCAGGCTGGAGTGCAGTGGCGTGATCTCGGCTCACTGCAACCTCCGCCTCCCAGGTACAAGCGATTCTCCTGCCTCAGCCTCCCGAGTGGCTGGGATTACAGGCGCCTGCCACCACGCCCGGCTAATCTTTTTTTTTTGGTATTTTTAGTAGAGACGGGGTTTCACCATGTTGGCCAGGATTGTCTTGATCTCTTGACCTCGTGATCCGCCCGCCTCAGCCTCCCAAAGTGCTGGGATTACAGGCATGAGCCACTGCACCCGGCCGAGGTTTTTAAGAATAACCACAGAAAACCTCAACACGTTTGTGTAAAACCTTCCAATGTCTAGGAATGAGCTGCCCCCGGGCGCCCCAAGGCCTGGCCTTCAGTGACACCCTCTTCACCCTAAAGTCCTGTACATGTTATTTATTTTTTGAGATGGAGTCTCGTTCTGTCGCCCAGGCTGGAGTGCAGTGACGTGATCTCGGCTCACTGCAAGCCCCGCCTCCCGGGTTCACTCCATTCTCCCGCCTCAGCCTCTGGAGTAGCTGGGACTACAGGCACCTGCCACCACGCCCGGCTAATTTTTTTTAATATTTTTAGTAGAGACGGGGTTTCACCGTGTTAGCCAGGATGGTCTCGATCTCCTGACCTCAGGTGATCTGCCCACCTCGGCCTCCCAAAGCGCTGGGATTACAGGTGTGAGCCACCGCACCCAGCCCATGCCCTGCACACTTTAAAATGCAGCATGTTTTACAGGAAAGGGTCTGGCCCCGGGATGCAGGGGAGTCCTACCCCCTGGACTGCAGCGCATCTGTGGCCAGGGCAAAACGGGGCATCGCCCGGTGTGTAGCCACCTTTGGGAGCACCCGGGATCCCTTCCCAGGCCTCCGCAGTGGAGAGCATGAGGCGACAAGTCCAAAGGGCAGCAGGCGGGAGGGGGGTCTCGGATGAGGCGGCGGCTGCGTCTGGGGGGTTTCTTGTGGGGAGCAAGAGCTGATAGACCTAGAAACTGACGTGATGGATGCACTCTTGCCACGTCTACAAAGTAGTTTCTAGAAGCCTGATCCTGAAGTGAGGCGGGGAGACAGGCAAGACCACAGCTTCTCTCCTGTCCCTCCCTCTGGGGTGCTGTGGGGTTCCAGTGAAACTGCAGGATGGCCTCACACACCGCGGGGACCCTGGCGTGGAGTCCGTCCCCACCCAGCCCAGACTGCACCTGCTCCCCTGGAACCCCGTGTCCTTTCACTCCTTGCCAATGGCAGGGGGTGGCTGGGACCCTGGGGTTTCCAGGACCTCCCAGAGGTCCTGCCCGCTTGGAGCACAGGCAGCCAACGAATTCCCCTCAGCCCTCCCAGCAATCCTGAGGGTCCTGGTTACTCACAGGGCAGCCCCTTCAACACTTTTATTTTTCTCCTATTTTTTATTTTTTGGAGCCACACTGTCGCCCAGGCTGCAGTGCAGTGGTGCCATCTCGGATGACTGCAACCTCCACCTCCACCTCCCCAGGCTCAGCTGATTCTCCTGCCTCAGCCTCCTGAGTAGCTGGGACTACACGGTGCACCACATGCCCGGCCAAGGTTTTTTTTTTTTTTTTTCGTAGAGATAGGGTTTCACTCCGTTGCTCAGGCTGGTCTTGAACTGGGCTCAAGTGATCCTCCTGCCTCTGACTCCCAAAGTGTTTGGATTACAGGCATGAGCCACCAAGCCCGGCTTTTTTTTTTTTTTTTTTTTTAAGTCATGTGAGACTTTAGGGGAAAAATATGAAGGAGCAGAGAAGCCTGGGGAGCTGTTTGCAGGAGGATCAACTCACCTCTTCCTTGGTGTCTGCAGAAAAAAAAACCACACAAGACTAGAAGGGTCACCCTAAGAAGAAAAGGACGATCCAGCAGTTCCCACAGAACCACAAGCTCCCACCTTCTGCTTTGTTTTCTCCAGAAATACAGTGCCGGCCACCCTTCCCCTACAATTCGCCTGCAGATAAGTATCAGCTTGCTGGTCGTCTCCAGGAAGTGCTGAAGGGGGAGGCTCGCAGCCTCACGAGCTTTACAGAGCTCAGAGGGGCCCTAGAGCGGCCCAGCCGCCCCCACATCTAGCCCAGAGGGCGATTCCTCTGTCCAGGGACACGACCCTGAAGGCAGAAAGGCTGGGCTTTGGGTCTCGGATAACCGGAGAAGGAGGCCGGAGAAGCAGGTGATGGGCCTCCGGGAACCCTGAAGACCCCAGGACAAGCCCTCGCCGTTTCATCTGCAACCCACTGTGGCGGAAAGGCTCAGAGGCCCGAAAGGGTGACATGCCCTGGTGGTCACTTGTGATTTGTTGGGCGAGGAGAGGTGACAGGACCGCCCGCCCTGGGCTGGGCCTGCTGCAGGCACAGGGTGGGCGCAGGGCGTGTCTCGGGACCTGCTGGGGTTTTTCCAACCACACCGACAGCTTGGAAAACCAGCACTTCCTTTCTGTGGGGCCGTCTCAGCTCAGCTGCCACTGCTGGGAGCCGCCACTCTCTGAAGCTCGGGGACAGGGAGAGGACGGTGTCATGCTGGGGAAGAAGCAGGGGCGGCCTTCCCTTGGAGGCTATGTGACAGGAGCCGCGTGGAGGAAGTGGTTTCCATCACAGAAGGCCGAAACTCTGCCTTCCACAGAGACAGAGACAGTGTGGGAAGCCACGTGGCACTTCCCTTCTTTTCCAGTCAGAGCTCTGCTCTGTCGCCCAGGCTGGAGTGTGCTGGCACCATGGCGGTTCACTGCAGCCTTGATCCCCTGGGTTCAAGCGATCCTCCCACCTTAGCCTCCCAAAGCAATGGAATGACAGGCAAGAGCCGCCGCCCTGGCCTCGCTCTCCTTCCTTTCGGTGAGAGCCGCCATCGCCTGGGGGCTCACTGCAGGTCTTCATCCCTGACCCAAAGGGAGCGGCTGGCCCTCGGGAGAGCCCTGTGCCCTCAGCCTCGGCACCCCGTGATGCGGGTCGGCTCAGGGATGCCCTCTCCATGCCAGGCTGAAGCGAAACCCAGCACCCAACGCCGAACGGAAGAAAGAAGCACGATGGTGCGCTTTGCTTTTTCTCTGTTTTGTTTTGTAACCTAAGGAAGCAGAGGCTCTGAGACCACACACAGCAGCGTCGCCCGTCCCCGGAGGCACCTCGGCCGGGACGGGCAGGAGAGGAGACCCCCGTTCCTGTGTGCGCAGTTGCCCCGCCACAGTGCTCTCCACAGGGGTGAGGCAGGAGGGTGGGTGGAGGCGCCAGCCTGTCCTCAGCTGGAAGGGCGGGGCGTGGACAGGGACGGTGGGCAGGTCACCAGCGGGACGCGGGGAGTCCAGCCGCTGTCACACGGCGGTGCGCGTGGGTGTGCCGGGCTGGTTCAGTCGCAGGGTTTTACACAACCACCCGGCAAAATCCACTTCTTCCACCTCGGACCGCTTGATGAAGGTGTGGTTCTGCAGGGAAAGGGGAGCCGTGAGTATCCGGGCCTGGAGTCACAGTAGACCGGGGAGGGCCAGGGTCTGCCCAGCCCTGGCAGATGGTGCAGGACGGAAAGCAAAAAACAGAGGAGACCCTCCCTCCTTCTCAGGAAGATGCACTCAGGGCAGGAGAGGGAGAGCCACCCAGGAAGGGGCAGTGGCGTCCGCCAGGCCTTCGAGGGGTCTCAGGATGCTGTGCTCCACCCGGGGCGGGGACACCACCAGCCCGGCAGCCTGGGCTCCCAGGGGAGGGTCTACGCTCGCGCAGCCGGGTCCTCTGGCCGCTGTGGACACTGGGGCTGGATCGTTCTCTGGGGTGGGGCCATCCTGGGTACTGCAGGGTACTGAGCAGCATCCCTGGTCTCCACCCACTCCATACCAGGGGCTTCCCCAAGTCATGACACCACAATGTCCTCAGCCATTGCCAGGGTCCCCCGGAGCAGGACAGTCTAGGCAAGAACAGGCTGTTCCACAGAACTCCCTGCAAAGCACTGTACAGGCACCGTCCCACCCGCCAGCACATGAGGCTCCAGAGCCCCGGGAGTGGCTCCTGTGGCTTGAGAACAAAAGCCTCAATTGTATTTCAGTTCAACAAATTAAATTAATTACTTTTAGTTTTTTCTATTTTTTATTTTTCTGAGACAGAGTTTTGTTCTTATTGCCCAGGCTGGAGTGCAGTGGTGTGATCTTAGCTCACTGCAACCTCCGCCTCCTGGGTTCAAGAGATTCTCCTGCCTCAGCCTTCCCTGTAGCTGGGATTACAGGGATGTGCCACCACACCTGGCTAATTTTTGTATTTTTAGTAGAGACAGGGTTTTACCATGTTGGCCAGGTTGGTCTCGAACTCCTGACCTCAAATGATCCACCCTGCCTCAGCCTCCCAAAGTGCTGGGATTACAGGCATGAGCCACCGCAACCAGCCTTAATTTTTATTTTTTGAGACAGTCTTGCTCTGTCTCACAGGCTGGAGCACAGTGGCACAATCTCAGCTCACTGTAATCTCTGTCTCCCAGGTTCAAGTAATTCTCCTGCCTCAGCCTCCCAAGTAGCTGGGATTACAGGCGCGTGCTGCCACGCCCAGCTAATTTTTGTGTTTTTAGTAGAGACCAGGTTTCTCCATGTTGCCCAGGCTGGTCTCGAAATCTTGGCCTCAAGTGATCCACTCGCCTCGGCCTCCCAAAGTGCTGGGATTACAGGTGTGAGCCACCGTGCCCGGCCCCATTTCACACATTTAAACAGCCATGTGTGGTTAGTGGTTCCTGCACAACATGACAAGCCTCCTGGTTAGAAGGGCTGGGGGAGGAGGGCGGGTGCCCTTAGGGAAGAGGCGGGGCTGGGCCACCCCACGGCGGGTGAGCAGAGGCCTTTGGGGTTCCCAGGAGGGTGGCGTCCAGGACCTTGCCCCCGAATGCTGCCTCTTCTGCAGCTGGAGGCAGGCAAGGGTGTCTTCCTAAAAGTCGGTGCAGGGTACGGGTGAAAAACCAACCAACTTGATAGGACACACCTCGGCTAGGTCCACAGGTTACCAGGCTACCCCACAGGGGAACATTTTTAAGAAGCTGGTTCAAAAAAGGCTATTTCAGCCAGGCTCATGCCTATCACAGCACTCTGGGAGACCAAGGTGGGTGGATCACAAGTTCAAGACCAGCCTGGCCAACATGGTGAAACCCCATCTCTGCTAAAAACACAAAGATTAGCTGGGCGTGGTGGCACAAGCCTGTAATCCCAGCTAGTCGAGAGGCCGAGGCAGGAGAACTGCTTGAACCTGGGAGACGGAGGTTGCAGTGAGCTGAGATTGCGCCACTGCACTCCAGCCTGGGCGACAGAGCAAGACTCTGTCTCAGGCAGAAAAAAAAAAAAGTTATTTCAACATTAGTACTCCTCTCTATTTATTTATTTATTTTGGAGAGGCACAGTCTCACCATGTTGCCCAGGCTGCCCTTGAACTCCTGGCCTCAGCCATCCCCCCATGGCACTAGGATTCCAAGCGCCCGCCACTGTGCCCAGCCTGCCTCATTAAAAAAGAAAAAATGTCACATATGCCAGGTGCAGTGGCTCACACCTGTAATCCCAGCCCTCTGGGAGGCTGAGGTGGCAGAATCATTTGAGCCCAGGAGTTTGAGACCGGCCTGGACAGTTAGCAAAACCCTCTCTCTCTAAAAAACTAGCTGGGCAGGTCGGGTGCGGTGGCTCACGCCTGTAATCCCAGCACTTTGGGAGGCTGCGGCAGGTGGATCACCTGAGGTAAGGAGTGTGAAGTCAGCCTGGCCAACATGGTGAAACCCTGTCTCTACTAAAAACACAAAAATTAGCTGGGCGTGGTGCGGGGTGCCTGTAATCCCAGCTACTCGGGAGGCTGAGGCAGGAGAATCGCTTGAGCCTGGGAGGCTGAGACTGCAGTGAGCCGAGATTGTTTCATTGCACTCCAGTCTGGGAGACACAGTGAGACTCTGTCCAACCCTCGAGAAACATACAAAGCTGAGAACCACATTCTGGTATCATAAGGTGCACGGGTTGGGCGCCTGTAGCTGGCATCTCTTCTTTTCTTACAGGCACAGAAAGTAGCGGACTGTCTAGGAGGGCGGGTCTCCAATCCACCCATCAGCTGTGGAGGGGTTCGAAGGCTGCTGACAGTGGCCGTGGTGCGGGACGGCACCCAGGGTGCAGGCTGGGCTGAGGGGCAGGAGGATGACGCCCAGGGCCCTCCTCTGAGGGTGCAGTCCCCGCCGGGAAGGCGAGTTTTGGTGAACAGCTAGGCTTCCGAGGGTATCAGAGGATGGGAGTTTAAGGAGACACCGAAGCACCCACAGCCTCGGGGGACCTGCCTGCCACAGTGTGCACAACAGGGACGGTCACCCTCTTGTTTGCAGAGAAAGGAGCTCGGGGAGCTGAGAGCTGCCTCCAGCCTCTCATGAGGGCAAATGAGCCGGGGGTCCCGTCCTGTGGGTGCGGGACCAGCACCAGGCAGGAGCGGCGGAGCTCAGAGCCCACAGCTGTTCCCACGCACACACCCTATGCTCCCCGCAGCCACTCCAGGATGGCTTCTCTTGTGGACGAGGGAGACCCACAGAGGGTCCTCGGTGTGGCCTGGCACACCTGGACTGCCCACATCCTGGTCGCAGGTGCTGGCTCCCGGGGCAAAGCCAAGCCCAGCAGCCTTATTTCCTGGGGCCCGGGTGGCAGCCTGCACCCTCCCGGCCCCAGAACCCGCTGGCATCACTCACCGTGAGCATCTTCAGGTCTGCCCGCTCTGCTGGGTTCTTGATGAGGCTGGGGGTTCCAAGACGCAGGACCGGGAGGCAGTAGGGGAGACAAGATAGGGCAGTTAGTTGGTAGCCCCAGGGCACCTGCGTTTTGGGCCGTGGCCGGGGGAGGCCTGGATCTGTGGCACAGACCTGCCTGCTCTGCCGCCTGGCAGCGGACGAGGGCTCCACCTCTGCCCTTTGGTGCCAGGGGCAGGACACCCCTGGGGGGAGGGTGAGAGGGCGGGAAACCCCGCCTGGTGGGTCAGAAGCCTGGACGCAACCCCAGCTAACTTTCTAATAAAAACCTTCTTCAGACACAGAGCAGCCCCGTGTGTGGGTAGATGCCGTCCACGGCCTGCCGGAGGACACGTCAAGGGCCCAGGACAACTTTAGCACCAGGAGTGCGGTGCCATTTCACAGCGCCCCCAGCTCAGACACACGGACTGGCCCTATGGGCAAGCGGGTGTCCCCAGCTCCTCCCCCGTGGTCTGTGGCCCGTGCCTGAGGCCCACGCCACAGATGCTGCTGGGTGCTTGGGGGCAGGAGAATGGAGAGGGGTTGGCAATCCTCCTAGAACCTGCAGGCGGGCCTCGGGGAGCCCATGGCCAGCACATCAGGGGTCCGGGGACCAGGCAGAGGCTTCTCCGGCTGCAGACGGTGAGGCAGGGACACCGTCATGTCCACAGGGCCTGCAATCCTGCTTTACCCCCAGGCTCGGGGAGAGGATGGCATGGCAGCCAAGAGTTGCAGCGCCACAGCCCTGGGAAAGGGAATCTGGGTTCCTGTTGGGCTCAGAGTCCTGCGTGACCCTGCACTGGGATTCTGGACGGGCAGGCTGGGCCAGGGGCCCCACCCAGGACCTGGAAGGAGTGGCACATCTGGGTCCTGGCCAGGGGTGCGGGCGGCCCGGCTCCACCTACCATTTATTGACAAACTCCTGGAAGTCGGGGGTGAACACACCGTTGGGCAGCTTAGGAGGCGGCTGCGGAGGAGAACAGAGGGTGGGGTCAGCCCTGGGCGTCCTCAGGGACGCTTGGCTGTAGCCCTCCCAACCCCTGCCTGTCCTGTCCGGTCACCCACCCTGCAGGCCTGGCCGACACCACATGCCAACTAAGCTGCACCCTGTGAGAGCTGGCCTTCTCCCGGAAGTTCTCGTTTGAGAGTCATGGCTGGTTGGAGGGAAGGAGAGAGGGGTGCACCCCCCTTTTATAAACAGGACAACCCCTCGAGTATCATCACTTGCTTCCTTCCCCAGTGACGCTGGCTGAAGGATGAGCTTTGGGACTGGGCCCCACAGAGGAACAGCTGGGTCCAAAGTTCTTTGGTTTTGAGACAGAGTCTCGCTCTGTGCCCAGGCCGGAGCATAATGGAGTGATCTTGGCTCACTGCAGCCTCCACCTCCAGGGTTCCAGCGATTCTCCGGTCTCAGCCTCCCGAGTAGCTGGGATTACAGGTGCCCGCCACAGCACCTGGCTAATTTTTGTACTTTTAGTAGAGACAGTATTTTTTACCAGGTTGGCCAGGCTGGTCTCGAACTCCTGACCTCAGGTGATCCACCCGCTGTGGCCTCCTAAAGTGCTAGAATTATACACCTGAGCCACCGTGCCCAACCAAACGGGGTCCAAAGTTTTAAGCCCAAGCACTGGGGAGCCTGGTCCAGCACACACATCCCTGGAGCGGGAGCGGCCGTGGAAGTGGTGCCAGCAGTGCAGGGTCAGGCCTCTCCTGCGCAGGGGTGGGAAGAGGCAGGGGAGCAGTGGGGGGGTGTGTGCACCAGGCCTGGGTGTGGCTGCCAGGTGCAGGGAGAGCTGGGTCACCAGGGCCACCCCACCTGGCCCTGTCATCATCTCGCCACCCAACCCCAGGCCTAGCCCAGTCTGCAGGCAGCTTAGATGCCTGTTTCTCTGCCCCAGCTCCAAAGGGCCGCCAAAGACACAGAAGCCCACAGAAGGCTCAGGGAGGTGGCCCGGCCTGGTCACGTGGCCAGCAGGACCTTGGGGTGCAGTCCGGTGCCTCCCTGACAGCTGCAGGCCTGGGAGGAGGCCACGCCCCTCCTTGTGCCTTGGTTTACTCATCTGGGCGGTGGAAACCCTCACACTGTGGCTCACGGGGTGGTTACGGGGACTGACGGAACAGGAGCCACTCCAGGACCTATAGGTCCTTCTAGGCTCTCTGGCCTCCTTCCAAGAGGCAAGGGCCACGCCTGTCCCTTTCTCCGTGGAAGTGGGGTGATTTATGAGTCTACACCCATGGGCTCCTGGACGCTCTAATGCAGAGACACTGGACCACCGGCTCCTTGGCCTGAGCCCGGGGCTGCTGGGACGCACCTCCCGCTAGACTCAGGGTGAAAGGATGCAGCGGGAATTCTGGGTTCGTCTTCATAAAAAAACAAGGCCCTTGGGAAGGAGCTGGGCTTGTGCAGCACAGTGGAAGACGGGAGATGCGATGCACGTGGAATTGGTTCAAGAATCACTTGAACCTGGGAGGCGGAGGTTGCAGTGAGCCGAGATCAAGCCACTGCACTACAAAGCTAGACTTTGTCTCAAAAAAAAAAAATAGCTGGGTGTGGTGGTGTGCACCTGTAATCTCAGCTACTCGGGAGGCTGAGGCACGAGAATCACGTGAGCTTGGAAAGTGGAGGTTTCAGTGAGCCGAGATGGCATCACTGTACTCCAGCCTGGGTGATTTTTTTTTTTTTTTTTTTGAGGCGGAGTCTTGCTCTGTCGCCCAGGCTGGAGTGCAGTGGCGCAATCTCTGCTCACTGCAAGCTCCACTTCCTGTGTTCATGCCATTCTCCTGCCTCAGCCTCCCAAGTAGCTGGAACTACAGGTGCCTGCCACCGTGCCCAGCTAATTTTTTGTATTTTTAGTAGAGACGGGGTTTCACTGTGTTAGCGAGGATGGTCTTGATCTCCTGACCTCATAATCTGCCCGCCTCGGCCTCCCAAAGTGCTGGGATTACAGGCGTGAGCCACCGCGCCCGGCCCAGCCTGGGTGACTCTTGCTCTACTCAAGAGAGAGATTTTGCTTCAAAAAAAAAAAAGAAAAAAGAAAAGAAAAGCCAAAAGGCGTCGAGCACAAACCTCATTCACAATATAGTCCAGCAGTTCGAAGATGGCCATGGCGGGCCGGCTGTCCATCCCGTGACCTGCACAGGGAGAGAGATGGAGGTGAGAGGGGCCGGTGGCCACCTCACTACTTCTGGGGGTTGGGCTCCCAGGGGGCTGATCACCACCGGGCACCCTCCTCCCCACGCCCGCCTAAATCGGAGGTGGGTGTGCAGAGGCACAGGACAAAGCTCTTCTGCCTGACGCTTTGTTCCATTCCCCAGGATGCCTGAGCCTCTAGTGAATTAAAAAAACGGCAAAAGGAACATGAACATTTTTTGAGAAGTCACACATTTGGCTCGGTGAGGCTTGCCGGACGTGCCAAAGTCACCGCTCTCCTCTCTGGCGGGCAGGGGGAGGGACGGTGCTGACCGCAGGCAAGGACAGCAGTGTGACCTTGCATGGAGCTGCTGGCGGTGACGGTGGCAGGCCCCGAGTGCCATTCAGGATGGGAGACCGGCTAGGGGTGGCTGACCCATCTGAGAACCAGCTGGCCAGGCCTGGGCTTGGCCGCTGGACTTTCGCCTTCTGCCTGTCCCAAAATGGGCAGGCGGGCTGGGGCCCTGGGCTGGGGGCAGGGCTGGGGACGGTGTACCACCTGGGAGGGGCTGAGGCCAGGCCTGAGGATAAGGACTTGGGGGACTCTCCCTGGGACGAGATCAAGACATCCCAGCAGTCTGGCTGGAGGGGAGGACTTAGGCTTGCCAGTGCTGTGAAAATCACCACCTCACAGCCCCAGCCCGTCCAGGGTAGAAGGACCACAAAACGTGACCTGCTCGTGTCATAAAATACCACTCAGCCTTTCAAAAGGAGCCAGGCTCTGACATGCACCACGGCGTGGGGGACCCTCGAGGACACCGCTCCGGGAGAGAAGCCACACACAAAACACAGAAGGCCACACAGTGTGCGATCCCCTTTCTGTGAAATGCCCAGGACGGGCCAGTTCACAGAGGCAGGAAGGGGACGGAGAGTGACAGCTGATGGGGACGGGGTTTGCTCTTGGGAAGCTGAGAAGGTTCTGGAATTAGAGGTGATGGGGCGCAGCACTGTGACAGAAAACCACTGAAATGAGTGAGTTGTGGGGTTGCGCTTCAGTTCGGAAACGTGGTTTTAAAACCAACCAGAGTCCGCTACACGGTCCTTTGGCGTCTAACTCCACTAACTCTCCCTGATGTCTGACTTCAAAAAAAATCACAGGACCCTCCCGTGACTCTGCACCAAGCAGGGTTGGCCCCCGGTTCTCCCTCAGGCGGTGGAAGTGTCCGCTCAGGCGTCTCTGGCTGGCGTCTGGGAGCTCCCGCTCCCGAGGTGCCCGCCCTAAGCATCGGATTGTCCTCTGCGAGCCCAGCTGTCCCTGGGGCCTGAGCCCTCCCGCCCCCACTGGGCTGCATCCCCTTCTGTGTGTGTTGGGGCCGGAGCCAGCAGGCCACTGAGGGCCATGCCAAGTCAGATCTCCACTTCGGGGCTCCCTAGAAGGCTTGGCCTGCACACAGGAGCGTGTCACCTGCAGAATCCAGGCTCTGCAGTGGCCAGTTTCTTCCACTTTTCTGTATGTCTGGAGGCGTTCAGGATAAAATGTTGGAAAATCTAACTGCCCAGGGGCTTGGCGGCAAAGCTGCGCTCCCAGATCCTGCCAGCTGGCAGCAACAGGTGCAACTGCCTGGACAGAACAGGTTTGGGGCGCTCACTGCTTCCAGCTCTGTCCCGGGAAACCCCAGGACCATCTGAGGACTGCTGACCACAGTCGGCACCATCCAGGGGGACAGGTGGTACGACAGGGGCAGAGGAGAGGCAGCTGCTGGCCCAGGCACAGCAGGCCCCGCACAGGGTACTGCGCGTCCAGACCGGAAGTTGCAGACGCAGGCCGTACCGCTGATGGGGCGCCCAGGGGGTCTCGGCCGAGGCGAGATGCTGTGAGGCTCTCCTTCTTCCCCGTCGACCACTGGCCTGCCAAAGATGGCCTCCAGCTCCTTGGCGTCGGGCGGGGGGATGGGGTACCTTCCGATGGCCAGCTCCACCAGGGACAGGCCCATGCTCCAGATGTCCGACTGCACCGAGTAATGTGTGCCCTGCAACCGCTCCGGCTGCAGCAGAGGCAGGAAGGAAAGAGCCCAGAGGGGCGAAGATGGCAGCTGGAAGCCGGGAGGCTTGCCCCATTACAGCTCCAGTCACCCTCTCCATGGCTAATGACCACAGCAATGGACGGAGAGCTGTTAAGCAATTCTACCTCCCGGCTCAGCAACCCAGGGCCGCCCTGCAGCACTTGCTGAAGAGGCTCCAGCCCGACGCCTGGAGCTGGTGTGGACCGCAACTCTTGAAGAGCCCACAACGCTCAGCGCTTTTGGGAATGGACGATCGGCCCCAGGAAGCAGGGGCCTCCTTCTCCACGGCTAACATCCAGAGCCTGCTCCAAGGCTCAATTTGGCAGGCTGCTGAATCTCCAGTCATTTCCTAAAAGACCCCAGAGTCCAATTTCTTGGTCCAGAAATGAAGTAAGGGCCGGGTGTGGTGGCCCATGCCTGTAATCCCAGCACTTTGGGAGGTTGAGGTGGGAGCCCAGGAGTTAAGACTAGGCTAGCCCATATGGCGAGACCCCGCCTCTACTAAAAGCATTTTTTTAAAAATCAGCCAAGGCTGCCGGGCACAGTGGCTCACGCCTGTAATCCCAGCACTTTGGGAGGCTGAGGCGGGCAGATCGTGAGGTCAGGAGATCGAGACCATCCTGGCTAACACGGTGAAACTCCATCTCTAGTAAAAATACAAAAAATTAGCCAGGCATGGTGGCGGGTGCCTGTAGTCCCTGAATCTCCTACTCAGGAGGCTGAGGCAGGAGAATGGCGTGAACTCGGGAGGCGGAGCTTGTAGTAAGCTGAGATGGCGCCACTGCACTCCAACCTGGGTGACAGAGCGAGACTCCGTCTCAAAAAAAAAAAAAAAATTACCCAGGTGTGGTGACAAGATGCCTGTAGTCTCAGTTGCTTGGGAGGCTGAGGCAGGAGAATTGCTCAAACCCAGGAGGCGGAGGTTGCAATGAGCCAAGATTGTGCCGTTGCACTCCAGCCTGGGTGACAGAGCAAGACTCTGTCTCAAAAAAAAGAAGAAAAAGAAAAAGAAAAAGAAAGAAAGAAAGAAACCTGGTCGGCATTACTAGAGACAAAAACCTCCGTGAGAATTCCAACAGGAAGGGGAGATCTGGCTGGGCAATGGGGCTCAGGCACACTTGCTGGCAGAATCCCAGCACTTTGGGAGGCTGAGGCAAGAGGGTCACTTGAGCCCAGGAGTTCATGACCAGCCTGGGCAATACAGCGAGACCCCGTGTCTACAACAGACTAATAAATTAACAAATAAAAAATAGCAAGGGGAATCCAAAAAGCAGGCTCCCAGGAGGCACTGGCTTTAGGCAAGCCTTGTGGCAAGTGGGCAGAGCTGATGGAGGGGAGGGTGCAGCTGGGGTGGGAATGTCCCGGGGGCACTCACAGCCATGTAGGCGCGTGTGCCCATGAAGTAGCTGGGAAAGCCTTGTGGGAGGTGGGGAGAGAGCTGCACAGGAGAACTGGCGGGGAGAGCGGAGGGGAAGAGATGGAGGGGAGAGCTGCGTGGGAGAACTGGGGGCGAGAGCTGAGGGGGAGAGCGGGTGGGGAGAGCTGGGGGGACTCACAGCCGGGGGGGACTCACAGCCATGTAGGAGCGTGTGCCCACGAAGGAGTTGGCCATGGAGTCGATGAGCTGGCCGCTCACCCCGAAGTCACACAGCTTGATCTCCCCTCTGGAGTTCACAAGGATGTTGGAGGGCTTCACATCTGGGGGCGGCAGGCAGCGAGTGAGGGGCGCCCAACAGTTGCCTGCCAGCCCACAGGGCTCTGGGGAGGGCGGGTTGGGCCTTACCTCGGTGCATGATCTGGTGCTTCTCTCGGAGATACGCCAAGCCGCGGAGAACCTGCAGGGGATCGCAGAGAGGGTCACGGGACAAGGCCGCCAGGACTTAGCTCCTGACCGAGGCCAGGGGTTGGACCTGAGCAGCCAGAGCTGGAGCGAGGGACCTGCGGCAGGAATGCTGTTTCAGGCTGTGAAGAGCTCGCTGGGGTGGAGCAAGCGAGGGCAGAGACAAGACGATGCTGATGGTCCTGTGCTGTGTGCAAGTAAACCCCGGTTCCCACACGGCTGCAGTGCGGCCGATGCCATTACTGCCTCTGAATCAGGCCACACGGCTGAGCCCCAGGGAAGCTGAGACGGTGGCCCACGGCCCGGGAGTAGGCCGGGCTGCTGAGTTTGCCCACACCAGCCTGAAGGGCAGCATCTGTAACGCATCTGGGGTCCTAGGGACTGTGCTAAGGGCCCTCAGACGGGACGGGCTAAGGGTGCCCGGGAAGGACGCTGCTTCCCCCAGGCCCACCCTGGAAGGAGCATCCCGAGAAGTGAAGGAAGCAGCACAGGCAGTGCTGACGGCAGCTTTCTACTCTGAAGCGCATGTCTGGCAGCACGCAGCCTGTGTCTTAATCCCAACTCCGGTATGGGCAGGCGGGACTCGGCCCCTGCTATGGGCAAACTGCAAGCTCCTAGGAGCAACACGCACGGTCTGCTGAGGCCACACGGCTCTGCGGAGCAGCTGCGCTGAAGACCGGGCAGCAGAGACACCCTTGGCCCCGGTGGCATTTCTAACAGCAAGGGGGAGTGTGTCTGGAGGTCCTGGCGTCCCACATCCCACCCCAGGGTTTCTCCTTCAACAAGCTCCTGGCCCCTGCAACGTGCCAGCGGCCAACATCCCCCTGCCATGAGGGCCAGAGAGGACCAGCATGGCAAACAGAGGATACTAAGAGTGAAGAGGAAACCTAACGTCTTCACTCGGCAGATGGTGACCTCGGGCCCCAAAAGGGACATCACTTGTTCAAGCTCCACAGGGGGTGGGCACAGCCTTGGCCACTCTCTTTCTGCAGGGGCCACCCTAACCCCCACCGCACTGTGAGTGGCTCCTGGAACCCTGGCCATGTGGAGGAGGCCTGTGCAGGGTCTGCGGCGGGACTCACCGCAATGCTGACTTTCCCCAGGATCTCCTCGGGGATCCTCTTGGCCTCCTTCAGCACCTGGTCCAGGGAGCCGCCATCCTAGAGGGCACATGACGAGTGAGTGCAGGCTCTGAGCAGGTGGCTGGGAAGCCACGGATGTGTCCCCCGACTCCTGGCGAGGGGGTGGTCTGCCTCCTGACTGATGGGAAGCGGGGGCCGGAGCCCAACTCCACCCACTGGTCAAGGAGGCCTTCTGATAGTTCTGCTTTGGGTCTGCACACCCGCCCACAAGGGGGCAGAGAAACAGGGCCCAGGGCGCCCCCGCCTCCCGTCCCTTCCTGGAATCAGTTGCGTGACTCGGCCCTCCTGAGGTCGCCACGGCAGAGGCTCTGCTCCAGGCCAGCCCAAGCGGTGGCCGGGGGCTCAGCCAGCTGTGGGGCCTGCACTCCCTGAAGCCTGCATGGTGGGCTTGTCTGTGCGCCATGGGAGGCGGCCAGGCTGGAGATCAGCTTCCTGGGCCTGGGTCCTCTTCCCAGCACACGAAGGGAAGGGGAGGGTGAGGGCGTGGAGGAGAACTGGGCGCTGCCCATGTGGGAGGAGACAGAGGGTTGCTGTGTGCCTGTCCAGACCCCCACAGGGGCTCCCTAACCAAGCCCTGCGCCTGTCCCTGCCGCTTAGGACAGAAAGGCCAGGTTGAGTAGGACCAGGTGCCAGGGGGTACATGGACTGCAGGACGGACCCCAGTGAGGCCAGCCCAGGTGACCGTGACCTTGGCCCCTCCCCATAGCCTCGGTCTCCTCGCCGTTGTGCTGGGCATCCTGTGGAGGCCTGGGAACCAGCCATCACGGCTAGGCTGGCCCCTGGGTGCGGCCCCACCTCCATGTCACGAATGGTGACACAGAAATTCCATGTCTTGCCCAAGGCCGCCTGGCAACAAGCCTGGGGACCAAAACCCCCAAACGCCAAAACCCCAGGCACTGGGGGCCACCCGAGATGCCTCTTCAGAGGTGGAGGCTCCGGACACACCTGCCAGGCCACCCCCAGGACAGCAGGGGGTGACCGGCCGAGTTCCCACTGCCACCGTCTGGCATGCTTCTCTTCTGCGCTCAGCAGAGAGGAAAGCGGAACTGAGGCTGGAGAGGCGAGCCGGGGAGCCTGGATTTCCCCACCATGCTGCTCCAGGACTCCTGCAAAAGCCCAGCCTTCCCCAGGACGGCTTTCATTCACATGGGTGGGAGGAGCCGGGGGAGAAATCCTGGGACTCAGGGGTGCCCGGATTGCCGCTTTCTGGCCACTTCTGCCCAGCTAGGCTCGGAGAGAAAGGCCGAGGGCAGTTCTAGAGAACCCGACACGCTTTGAGGCCTCTAGAGCACAGATGTGACTCCATCCACCAGCTCCAGGCTGAAGATGCAGACACACAGGGTGGGAGGGCAGGTGTGGCCAGGGTTCAGACAGCCCAGGAGGAGGGGCTGGGATGGGAGCTCCGGTGAGCCAGGGCCAGGTGGAAACTGCTTCTATTCTCAGTTTTTATCAATCTACCTTAAATTAATTCTTTAAAAAGAGGCTAGACATGGGCTGGGAGCAGTGGCTCACGCCTATAATGCCAGGACTTTGGGAGGCTGAGGCAGGCGGGTCACTTGAGGTCAGGAGTTCGAGACCAGCCTGGCCAATACGGTAAAACCCCACCTCCGCTAAAAATACAAAAAATTAGCTGGGTGTGGTGGTGGGCGCCTGTAATCTCAACTACTCCGGAGGCTGAGGCAGGAGGATCGCCTGAACCCGGGAGGATCGCCTGAACCCGGGAGGATCGCCTGAACCCGGGAGGCGGAGGTTGCTGTTAGTCGAGATCACGCCACTTTTCTCCAGCCTGGGTGACAGAGCAAGTCTCCTCAATTTAAAAAAAAAGGCCAGACGTGGTGGCTCACACCTATACTCCTACCCCTTCGGGAGGCCGAGGAAAAGGCATGCTTGAGCTGAGGAGTTTGAGACCAGCCCGAGACACACACGAGACCCCCACATCTACAAAAGATACAGAAATTAGCTGGGCGTGGTGGCGCAAGCCTGTAGTCCCAGCTACTCGGAAGGCTGCAGTGGGAGGATCCCTTGAACCTGGGAGGTCAAGGTTGCAGTGAGCCGAGATCGCACCACTGCACTCCAGCCTGGGTGACAGAGGGAGACCCTACCTCAAAAAAACAAAAACCAGAAAGAGACCAACAACTTCAAAGAGGCAGGGTGGCGGAAAACAAACCAACACAAACCAACACAACCAACGCAACAACACAGCCAACGCAGCCAATGCAGCCAGCGCAGCCAACGCAGCCCTAAAACCCTCAAACCCCTGCTCCCCAGCACAGCTCCTTCAGTCTCCGTTTCTCAGAGGGTCACAATCAATGTTTGCTGCGTGAGGAAATTCAGAAAGCCTTTCCCAGGAGGTGAGGGCGGGCGGAGCGCTGGGCTGCAAGCCTCATGAGCTGGCGGAAGACGCCTCACAGGAGCTCTCTCTGCAGCCGTCTTTCTTCACTGTGACATCGGGGCCAGGTCACTCGGGTGGGGCCGGTGTGGGCACTGCAGGGTGCTGAGCAGCGTCCCTGGCCTCCACCCACTCCACGCCAGAAGCACCCCGCAGACGTGATAACCACACGCGTCCCCAGACAGCGCCAAGTGTCTCCTGGGAGGGAGAACTGCCCCTGGTTGAGAAGGGCTGGTCTCCAGCTATAAAGACCAACGTCTGGCAGGACGAGCAGTTTGTCTGAGTCACAGAGACAGGATGTGGCGCAGAGGGTACTGCAGCTGTGTACTGCGGGCTCCAAATCTCACTCTGTGCATGACCATACAGTTCTACCGTGTGTGCACACGTGTGTGTGCGTGCGTGTGTGTGCGCGCGCGTGTGTGTGCGTGCGTGTGTGTGTGTGCGTGTGTGTGTGTGTTTCAAATAGTCTTGTAACTGTACTTTTGTTACATAGGTAGTAGGCGAACACATTTTTCTTGTAAGAAATTCAAACGAAGATAACAAACCCGGATGCCCCATCACTTCCACCATTCTCCCCTCAAGTGTGACTCAGATTGTTCCAGATCCTTTCTCTTCTCTCTCTCTCTGGGAGACAGGGGTTGCCCAGACGGCAGCAGAGTGGTGGGATCTTGGCTCACTGCAGCCTCAACCTCCTGGCTTCAGGCAATCCTCCCACCTCAGCCTTCCAAGTAGCTGCGACTACAGGCGTGACATCAAGTCCTGCCAATTTTTTGTAGAAATTGAGGTTCCTCAACGTTGCCCAGGCTGCTCTCAAACTCCTGGGCTCAAGAGGTCCTCTCGCTTCAGCCTCCCAAAATGCTGGGATTACAGAAGTGAGCACCTGGTCCCCAGATCTGACTGTGTATTTGGAAATATAGTCTCAGGACTCACTCTGTTGCCCAGGCTATAGAGCAGTGGCTCAATCATAGCTTGCTGCAGCCTCGACCTACTGGGCTCACGTGATTCTCCCAAAGCGCTGGGAGGCCGAGGCAGGAGGGTCACTTGTGGACAGGAGTTCAAGACCAGCGTGGGCAACATAGAGAGATACCATTTCTACAAAAATAAGCAAATAAATTCGCTGTGCATGGTGGCTTGTGCCTGTGGTCCCAGCTACTCGGGAGGCTGAGGTGGGAGGATGGCACCAGTGTACACTAGTCTGGGCAACTCAGCAAGACCCTGACTTGAAAAGACAATAAATAAATGAATGGGCCAATGCTATGTTTATTTTCTTTTTCTTTTATTTGAAACGGAGTCTTGCTCTGTCGCCAGGCTGGAGTGCAGTGGCATGATCTCGGCTCACTGCAAGCTCCACCTCCCAGGTTCGTGTGATTCTCCTGCCTCAGCCTCCTGAGCAGCTGGGACTACAGGCGTGCACCACCGTGCCCAGCTAATTTTGTATTTTTAGCATAGATGGGGGTTTCAACATGTTGGCCAGGATAGTCTCGAACTCTTGACCTCGTGATCCGCCTGCCTTGGCCTCCCAAAGTGCTGGGATTATAAACGTGAGCCACGGTGCCCAGCCCATGCGATGTTTATTTTCTACAACCACCCCTCCACTACATGAGTAGTGTTGTATTTGGGGATACTCCCATTCAGTACACCCTTGTGGATTTCACTTTGCCACTGCAAAGTGGCCAAATATCATTCTTGAATCGCTCCCTTAGTGATGGACACGTCCAGTTTCCATTACTGCAGAACAACGTGGGCATTCTCCAGCAGATTTCACGAGACCCCGAGAAAGGCCAAGGGGTACCTCTATGAGGTCCCTAAGTCACTGGCTCTCCTCTCCCATCCCATGAGGTCCCAGTGTCCACTGGGTTCTTGCCCTGAGTTATCCAGCAATAGATTCAGGCCCAAGGGAAGCAGCCAGCCCCACTGTTGCTAAGCTCCAGTCACCAACAAGTGCTGGCCATTTTATATAAATACATGACTGCGCACGGTGGCTCACCCCTGTAATCCCAGAACTTTGGGAGGCTGAGGCGGGAGAATCATTTGAGCCCAGGAGTTCAAGATCAGCCTGGGCAACATAGTGAGATCCCATATCTACAAAAAACTTAAAAAACTACCTGAGCGTGCTGGTGCACCTGTAGTCCCAGCTCCTTGGAAGGCTGAGGCAGGAGGATCGCTTGAGCCCAAGAGGTGCAGGCTGCAGTGAGCTAGGATCATGCCACTGCACTCCAGCCTGGGTGACAGAGAGAGACCTTATACCCCCCTACTCCCCAAATAAAAGAAAATAAAGATGACACAGAAATATGGGGCAATTGCATAGAAATACAGGGAAATGGTCGCAGGACACGGATGCAACACCCCGTGCGTGCCAGGTGCCATCCTGGGGAGAGTTTACATAGTCCTCACCCCAGCAGGGACTACCACCTCCCTCGGCTTCACAGCAGAAGCAGCAAGAGTCCTGTCCTGAACTCGTGGTGAGAGTGAGCGGTGGGGCCGAGACCTCATCTGGACGCCCATCCTCAGCCCTGGTGCTAAGCTGCCTCTTTGCCTCACTGGGGTGGCCTGGAAGGGAATGAATCAGGTGCTGGGCAGGCCCTGCCGTGGAAACCTATGGGCACATGGGTGAATTCCGAGGGCACCGTTCAGCATGGAGAGGATTCACAGGGCCGGCAAGGGTGGCAGGGATGGCCCCCTTGGATGGCTTTACTTCCTAGGATGCTGCCCTGTCAGGGCTCACCTGATGCTTTAAAATCAACATGTTCCACATTGTTTTTTTTAGTTCTTTTTTTTTTTTTTTTTTTTTTTTTTTTTGAGACGGAATCTCACTCTGTCGCCCAGGCTGGAGTGCAGTGGCGCCATCTTGGCTCACTGCAAGCTCCGCCTCCCGGGTTCACGCCATTCTCCTGCCTCAGCCTCCCGAGTAGCTGGGACTACAGGCACCCGCCACCTCGCCCGGCTAATTTTTTTTGTTTTTTTTTTTTAAGTAGACACGGGGTTTCACTGTGTTAGCCAGGATGGTCTCGATCTCCTGACCTCGTGATCCACCTGCCTCAGCCTCCCAAAGTGCTGGGATGACAGGCGTGAGCCACCGCGCCTGGCCGACGTTTTTTTTTGAGACAGTCTTGCTCTGTCGCCCAGGCTGGAGTGCAGTGGCGCCATCAGCTCACAGCAAGCTCCGCCTCCAGCGTTCAACCGACTCTTGTCCTGAGTAGCTGGGATTACAGGCGTGCACACCACACCTGGCTAATTTCTGTACTTTCATAGAGACGGGGCTTCACTACGTTGCCCAGGCTACTCTTGGACTCCTGAGCTTAAGTGATTCACCCACCTCAGCCTCCTAAAGTGCTGGGATTATAGGCGTGGGCCACATTTTTTTTTTTTTTTTTGAGATGGAGCCTCACTCTGTTGTTGGAGTACAGTGGTGCGATCTCGGCTCACTGCAACCTCTGCCTCCCAGATTCAAGCGATTCTCCTGCCTCAGCCTCCTGAGTAGCTGGGATTACAGGCACTCGCCACCGTGCCTGGCTAATTTTTACATTTTTAGTAGAGACGGGGTTTCACCATGTTGGCCAGGCTGGTCTTGAACTCCTGACCTCAGGTGATCCTCCCACCTCGGCCTCCTAAAGTGCTGGGATTACAAGTGTGAGCCACCACCCCTGGCTAGACAAACTTGGAACTTTTAAAGAATGCACCCCATAAACACAGACAGCATGGCCTGTGTCTCCCTCTTGCAGCTTGGTGGTCTGTGTGGTGTCCCCTGGGGTGCCAGCACCCACTCGGGGAACCCCCATTTTAAATTCGCCAAGAACAGAGGTTGGGGGAGGGCTGCCATGCTCTCCCGTTTCCGCATGGGAAGCAGGGGTCTTGAGAGCTGGTCAGCCACATGAAGGGAGGATGGAACTCCTGAGTAGAGAGGGTGCCTGCTGGGTGCGAGGGGGAAGACGAGGAAGACGAGGAGGAATGGGGAGCACTACATGACAGAGGGGCCGCCTCAGACCACAAAGCACTTCCTCATCCTTTCCTCGCCCTTTGATGCCGTCGGCACCATGACTCTGCGAGCAGCGGGGCAGACGCCAGGTCTCCCTTGCTGGCGGGAAAGGGGTTCCAAAGCGGGTGCTGCCTTGCCCGAGTCACATGGCTATGTGGGGGCCTTGCTCAAATTCACTTCCTGCCTTCATTACAAAACTGTCAAAGGGGATCGCACGTTTGCAGGGTGTCACCCAAGCATTCTGGTTTTGCAAAGGATGCCGTGTGGCGGGCAGTCTGATACCTGATGAGCTCGGTGTAGCGGGGTCGGCAGCATTTCCTCCGGGGTTTTGAGCTCTGGCCACTTCTCCTTTTGTTTCACCCAATCTTACCCACTTCTGAGCTTCAAGGCCAGAGAGTCTTAACAAGGGGGCACGTCGGAGTCCATGGAGGGGGTGCCTGTGCCCCACCCTAGAGACTGTGATCCCACAGGTCTGAGCTGGGGGAGGCACAGGCCCGCCTTGACAAGCTCAGACTGCCACACCTTCCAGAGAAGGCCATTTAAAAACGGTCATCAGCTTAGTTTTGTTTTGAGACAGCGTCTCGCTCTGCTGCCCAGGCTGGAGTGTAGCGGCGTGACCGAAGCTCACTGTAGCCTCAACCTCCCGGGCTCAAGGGAGCTTCCTGCCTCAGCCTCTCATGTAGCCGGCGCTACTTTTATCCCCATTTTTAAATGTTGTTAAAAATCTTAAAACAGGCACGTGCCACCACACTCACCTAATATTTTCAATTATAGAGATGGTTTCTCACTATGTCGCCCAGGCTGGTCTCGAACTCCTGGGCTTAAAAGATCCTGATGACAGGCATGAGCCACCGTGCCCGGCCTGATAGTGATCAATTTTTAATCGCATCTGCCTTGGAACCCAGCAATTCCCTCACACAGCTTAACCTCACAGGTTTGCCTGCGAGTCAGTGCCTTGTTACTTGAGATGGGGCAGAGACTGGAAACAACCTACGTGACCCCCAAAATGGGAGTGTTTTCCCTCTCTGCTGTCGTAACGATACCCGGGATACAGCAAGAGAAAAAGCAAAGCCGGGAGGAAGGCATGAATGCTTAAAAAACAAAATCATTGGCCGGGCGCGGCGGCTCATGCCTGTCATCCCAGCACTTTGGGAGGTCGAGGCAGGAGGATCACTGGAGGTCAGGAGTTTGAGACCAGCCTGGCCAACACGGTGAAACCCTGTCTCTACTAAAAATACAAAAATTAGCCGGCGTGGTGGCGGGCACCTGTAATCCCAGCTGCTCGGGAGGCTGAGTCAGGAGAATGGCTTGAACCTGGGAGGTGGGGTTGCAGTGAGCTGAGATTGCGGCACTACTAGACTCCAGCCCGGGCGACAGAGTGAGACTGCCTCTCAAGAAACACAAAAAGAAAACAAAACAAAACCAAAGCATCTACATACACACCTGTATGGCATCCCCTGGAAGCCGGCGCACTGCTGCCTCCGAGGAAAGGGGCCGTGAGGGGGAGCCTTCCTTCTCCCCAACATGCTTTATTCCAGGGAGGCCCTGCCCCTGCCTCTGTCCCGGATGCACTCACCATGTGCTCCATGCAGATGCTGATCTCCCCGTCGCTGTAGAAGGCCCCGTAGAAGCCCACGATGTATGGCGAGTTGCACTCATGCAGGACCTGCAGCTCGCGGATGATCTGGTTCCGGATGGCCGGCTTGATCTCAAGGTGGATCAGCTGCCGGGGAGAGGGGGGAGACCGGCTTGGGGGCGCCCGAAAATGGGATGAGGGCATTTGGGGCCTCTGCTCTGCAGGCGTTCACAACAGTGGTCAAGACCAACTCAGCCCCCACTCTGCAATTCCACCCCTAGATGTCCGCCTAGGAGAAGTGGACACGTGCGTCCACACAGAAACGTGTCCACAAGTGCTCATAGCACCACGATTCACAGCAGGCAAGGGTGGAAAGAGCCCAGGCGCCCACCCAGGGCAGAGCAGGCCAACCCAGCGCAGCCCATCCCCCACCGAAACAGGACTCAGTCGTAAAAAGGAACCAGGCCTTGACCCCAGCCACGGCGTGGATGGACCCTGAGGGTGTCACACTTAGTGCGAGATGCCAGACACAAAAGGCCACACGGTATGTGATCCCATTTCTATGAACTGTCCAGGACAGGCTGATCCAGGGACAGGAAGGGGATGCATGGGTGCCGGGGGCTGGAGGAGGGGATGGGGGTGACTGCTGATGAGGACAGAGTTCTTTCTGGGGTGATGGAATACTGTAAAATTGACTGTGATGATAAGGACAATGTCATGAATATACTACAATCCACTGAGTCACACACTTTCAAAGGGGACACTGTAAGGTATGTGAATTACACCTCAATAAACCTGTTTTCAAAAAAGACCAACGAAGCAAATACTTAATTCCCACTCAGTTGTAGTGGGAACTGTGTGAAAGCGTTTTTCCCTGTCAAACCAGACTTTGACAAAGTGCTCACCTGTCCCAGGAAGGAGGCAGGGCAGTGGCTCCCCTCCAGCCCTCTCCCTGCTTGGGGTGGGTCTATCTCGAGCCCCTTCCCACCCTCAAGCTGGAGACAGCCCGTGGAGACGTTAGGCACACGGAGCCGCGGACGCCCCTGAGGATGCTCCCTCTCCTTCCACCCAAGTTCAAGACGGCAGGGGAAATCTTCATCAAATCGACCCTGGTGCCACTTTAAAAAGGCAAGAAGCCAAAGAGCCACTCAAGAGGTCAGAAAGGAGCCTGGCGTGGTGGCTCACACCTGAAATCCCAGCACTCTGGGAGGCTGAGGCGGGTGGACTGCTTGAGGTCAGGGGTTTGAGACCAGCCTAACATGGTGAAACCCCGTCTCTACTAAAAATACAAAAAAATTGGCCAGGCGCAGTGGCTCACGCCTGTAATCCCAGCATTCTGGGAGGCCAAGGCAGGCGAACCACCAGGTTAGGAGTTCGCGACCAGCCTGGCCAACATGGTGAATTCCCATCTCTACTAAAAATACAAAAAATTAGTCAGGCACCTGTAATCCCAGCTACTCAGGAGGCTGAGGCAGGAGAATCACTTGAACTCAGGAGACAGAGTGAGACTCCATCTCAAAAAAAAAAAAAAAAAAAAAAAGGTGCAGAAAGGACATCAGATAAAACACCACGAGCAACCCCCAACCCCACGGACAAGCCCCAGGAGAGGCAGGACCCCCCACACGGCAAGGAGCAGCCTAAGGCTTTGGGCCAGCGCTCCGGAGAATCAGAGCATCCCGCTCCAGCTGCTGCAATAAGACAAGAAAAAGACATGGTTTCCACTCATCCGCCACGGAGGCAAAGCCAGGCCCAGGTGTGCAGTCAATGAAGAAACAGCCACTGACTGAGACGGAGACGGCTCCTTCCTGGAGGAGACCCGGGCTCAGGATGGGAACAGGAATGGGTAAGACCACCTCGACGTGGCAAAAATGCTGCCAAGGAGAAGTGATCCGGGTGCCCGGGGAGCAGAAACAAGGAGGTGACACTGGGGCTGGGCCTTGAGGAAGGACAGTCACCGTGAGGAGGAGATGGGGGAGGGTGTTCCAGGCAGAGGCACAAAGAGCTGCCTGTCAGCGGGCACGGAGGCATGAAGGAGCCCTCGCTGTGTTCGGGGCAGCAGGAGGCTGACTGTGGCCACAGCACAGGGCATGTGTGGGGTGTGCCCCCTGCTCCAGGCCTGTGACCTTGAAAAGCGTGGCAGGGACCAGGGGCACAGTGCCCAGCTCCCCCCACCCAGCCGCTCCTCAGGCAAAGGGTATCCCACCTTGACTGCAGCCCTGGCACTGCCTGCCCCTGTAGCTCTGGCTTCTCCCCTCAGGCCAGCCTGCAGAGTCCAGCTCCAGACAGGGGCCCCTGGGCTACTCCACTCCCTCATGGTGACTCCACAGGCCCCAGGGCCACCCCAGCACCCTAGGATGCTCTCCCCTACAGCCAGGCTATATCTGAGAGGTGCTGGTGCCCACTCCCATTCCACAAGGGCCCGGTACTGAAGCTTGGATGTTCACGTGGAGGTTGGGAGATTTACTCGAAAAGGCCACATTTGGGCCAGGCGCGGTGGCTCACGCCTGTAATCCCAGCACTTTGGGAGGCTGAGGCAGGCAGATCACGAGGTCAGAAGATCGAGACCACGGTGAAACCCCATCTCAACTAAAAATACAAAAAATTAGCAGCATGGTGGCAGGCACCTGTAGTGCCAGCTACTCGGGAGGCTGAGGCAGGAGAATGGCGTGAACCCAAGAGGCGGAGATTGCAGTGAACCGAGATCGTGCCACTGCACTCCAGCCTGGGCAACAGTGCAAGACTCTGTCTCAAAAAAATAAATAAATAAAAATAAAAATAAGTAAATAAATAAGATGAGATGAAAGGAGCCCTCGCAGCCCCACCTGCATAGCAGCCAGAGCCGCTGAGCCCGCGCACTCAACGCATCCTCTCCCACCCCCGAGTCTGCAGGCGCTTAAAAGAAAACCTAATTTTGAAAGAATTATAGAAGCACAGGAAGTTGCAAAAATAGTACCGACAGTCCTGTGTGCCCTTTCCCCACCTTCCCCAAGGTGAATGACAGCTTCATGACGGAAGGACAGAACCAAACCCCAGAGCCGACGCTGGGACGTCCCCATGCACCAGACCACAGAGCCTGCCCAGCCACGCCTGCCCTCAGGTTTAAAGGCCCCGACCTCCCTTTCCCGGCTGCGGTAAAGCTGCAGGTGAGCCCGTCTTCACCTGTGCCGGTCAGCGGGAGCAGGAGCTGCTGATGCAGCAAGCACTGGGTTCATGCCCACTGCCCAGCCCATCAGGGACCACTGGAGGCTCCCTGAGAAGCCCGAGGGTCCCTGGCACACACGGGGACTGGCACTCTGACTCAAGGCCCTGCTGTGGCTCTGTCAACCACAAGCTTGCTTTTTTCCTCCCGGTGCTTCGGGCGGAGGTGGACCTGAGCTTTCCAAGGCTGCTCTGGTTTGGAAGAGGCTGCCTGCAGTACGGGGACAGAAATAGCAAGTCCGCGGCTGCAGACTTCAGGAGGGAGGGAGGGTGGCACTCTAGAGGCCAGAAGACAGAGCTGCAGAGCTAAATCCCCGCAGGAGCTGAGCCACTGCTCCCGAGGAAGGCAGGGCCCTCGAGCAATGCTGCCACCTGCGCAGACCCACAGGACCGGGTGCGGTCAGGTTCCCCCAGTTTGGGGAACTACAGGATGGTGGGCTTCCAGGAAGAGGCAGCATTCTATGTCTGCAAGAACACAGGTGAGGAGCTCAACGCCCCGTCAACACTAAGTCCTCTGCTTATGTGTTTAAGAGCCACTGTCCCCAAGTGGTCACAACCTCCCTGTATCCCCTGGGCACTCTTCTCAAACACAGAGCAGAGGCTGCCTCATGGCCCAGGAGCCCGGGATGACTAAGCTCGGGGGCTGTCAGCGCCAGGGCTTGCAAATTCTCAAAGAGTGGGGTGACAGTCAGCTTTATGCGTCTCCTGAGTGAGACCACGGTGCCCAGTTGTCAAACACCAGTCTAGAGGTTGCTGGGAAGGTACGTTTTTAAGATGTGATTAACCTTTAAATCGGTAGACTCTGAGCAAAGCAGATTACTCCTCCCCAGAGTGGGTGAGTCTCAGCCAATCAGCTGAAGGCCTTCAGGGAAAAGCCTGCCCAGGCGCGGTGGCTCGTGCCTGTAATCCCAGCACTTTGGGAGGCCGAGGCAAGAGGATCACTTGAGGTCAGGAGTTCGAGACCAGCCTGGCCAACACAGTGAACCCCATCTCTACTAAAAAAACAAAAATTAACTGGGTGTGGTGGTGCACACCTGTGATCCCAGCTACTCAGGAGGCTGAGGCAGGAGAATCCCTTGAACCCAGGAGGTGGAGGTTGCAGTAAGCCAAGAAAAAAAAAAAAAGAATATAGGTCAAGCACGGTGGCTCATGCCTGTAATCCCAGCACTTTGGGAGGCCAAGGCGGGTGGATCGCCTGAGCTCAGGAGTTCGAGACCAGCCTGGGCAACAAACCAAGACCTCATCTCTACAAAAAATAAAAAAATTAGCCAGGCCTGGTGTTCCCTTTAGTCCTGGCTACTTGGGAGGCTGAGGCAGGAGGATCACTTGAGCCCAGGAGTCTAAGACCAGCTTGGGCAACATAGTGAGACTCTGTCTCTACAAAACAAACAAACAATTAGCCAGGCGTGCACCTGTGGCCCCAGCTACTCTCAGGATGCTGAGGTGGGAGGATCGCTGGAGTCTAGGAGGCGGAGTCTGCAGTCAGCTATGATTCTAGCCTGGGTGACAGAGGGAGACCCTGTCTTGGGAAAAAAAGAGAAAAAAAAACAACAAAAAAAAACCACGCCCGAGGCGCCCGAGGAGGGCCTGGATCTCAGCCGCAGCGTCAGCTGTTCCGTGGGGCTCTGGTCTGTCCTGCAGATATCAGACCCACCAGCCCAGGGACTGTGTGAGCCAATTCCTTAGAATAAATCTCTCTCTACACATACAGTCAAGTATCGTTAAGGACAGGGATACACTGAGAAATCCCTCACTGGGCGAGGTCGTCACTGTGTGAACACCGGAAAGTCCATTCTACACCCAGGTTCTTGTACTCTGTACGGTGCGGTCCTGATAAGCATCTGTTTATCTAAATATAGAGAACCGAGGTGGGCGGATCACCTGGGGTCAGGAGTTCCAGACCAGCCTGGCCAACACGGCGACACTCTGCCTCTACTAAAAACCCAAAAAAGGTAGCTGGGCACGGTGGTGTCCGCCTGTCACCCCAGCTACTTGGGAGGCTGAGGCAAGAGAATCCTTGAACCCAGGAGGTGGAGATTGCAGTGAGCCAAGATCGTGCCATTGCACTCCAGCCTGGATGACAGAGTGAGAGTCTGTCTCAAAAATAAATAAATAAATAAAAATAAACATACAGAAGGCACAGTAAAGACGTGGCCCGATCATCTTACGTCACCACCGCTGCACAGGCGGTCTGTCATTGGCTGAGCCATCGCCATGAGGTGCGCGGCTATACACACAGGCGCAAACGCACACACGCTTCATCGCCTGTTTCTCTGGAGAACCGTAACACATTCATATTCCTGAAATCCACACTTGTTAGCTTTCTGGGAATGTGGATTTCAAGTGCCCTCCAGGGCAGAAGGTAGCCACCGGAGGGCACAGCTGTGTGTGGCTGGCACCGCTCCCATCTGCCCAGAAGCTGGGCCCTTTCTCAGGACCTAGAGTCCCTGGTGGGGATGAGGAACGGAGCCTGGAGCTCATCAGAATGCAGAGACCCGGCTGCCTTCCCAACCTCCCTCCTGTTTCCAGGGGGACCTTCCCCACCACTCCCCGACCTCCGACCCCGCAGTGCTCACCTTCCTGGCCATGATGAGGCCTGAGGGTCTGTGCTGGACTTTGGTGACCACCCCGCCGTTGCCCGCGCCCAGCTCTGAGATCCTTTCGAAGTCATCGTCTTTGAGTTCGCCGACCTTGGCTTTCTGGGTGAGAAAGGCTTCCAGACGCTTCTTCTGCTGCTCGTCAAGTTCCAGCTCCTCCAGCTTCTTCTGCAGGTCCACCAGGTTTGCCCTGCAGAGACCCCCAGGGCAGGGGTTAGCTACCTAGGGAGATTCTACCTTTCCACCTGGACGTTTACCGCGTGGCCGTGGCGCGCCGGCCCCCAGAAGGACACAGACCGGGTTCCTGCACTTCAGGGGTTTGTGGTGTAGAAGGAAAGAAGGATCCATGCTGTGTACACCCAGCAGACACACCAATGACCAGAATCCAGGGCGGCTCCCCGGGAACTGAGGATGCTGCCTTGATCCCATCTCAGCAAGTCTAGCAGACCTCAGGATCTCGAGGATAAGCCGCAGCTCAAAGGCCTCCATCTGCTTTTTCTTTTTCTTTTTTTGTGAGACAGAATCTCCCTCTGTTACTCAGACTGGAATGCAATGGTGCGATCTCGGCTCCCTGCAACCTCTGCCTCCCGGGTTCGAGAGATTCTCCTGCCTCAGTCTCCCAAGTAGCTGAGATTACAGGCGCCCGCCACCATGCCTGGCTAATTTTGTATTTTCAGTAGAGACAGGGTTTCACCATGTTGGTCAGGCTGGTCTCCAACTCCTGACATTAAGTGATCCGCCCGCCTCAGCCTCTCAAAGGGCTGGGATTACAGGCGTGAGCCACCGCACCCAGCTGGGAGGCCTCCTTCCTAAGGCACAAGCTCCGGACCATGTCGGGAGGACACGAGGGAGGGATCAGGTGAACGGAGCCCAGGCCAGGATGCCTGTCTTTGCAGGAGATAGAGGAACAAGTGTTCTGAGCACAGTACGAGAACCAAGAGCAGAAGGCAGAAGGCTCAGTACAAAACCTGCATCAGGCAGGCACGGTGGTGCACGTTTGCAATCCCAGCCACTTGGGAGGCTGAGGCACGAGAACTGCTTGAACCCGGGAGGCGGAAGTTGTGGTGAACTGAGATCTTGCCACTGCACTCCAGCCTCGGTAGCAGAGGGAGACTCTGTCTCAAGACAAAATAAACCAAAAAACAAGCATGACCAGCCTGGGCAACAAAGTGAGACCTACAGTCGAGCACGGTGGCTTATGCCTGTAGTTCCAGTTACTCAGGAGGCTGAGGTGGGAGGATCACATGAGCCCAGGAGGTTGAGGCTGCAGTGAGCCATGATCATGACAATGCACTCCAGCCTGGGCGACAGGGCAAGACCTTGTTTCTGCACAATAAAAAAATTTTTAAAAATTTAAACAAGCATGTACATTGCATTTTATTGGGTGATTCCAAGAATTTTCGACAGTAAGCTATTTTCACAAATGCCTTGACTCGGAACCAGATCCTGGAGTAACAGACAACTTCTCTGTAACAGACAATTGAGCTCAATGCACACAAGAACCAAGTGCTGTGCAAAAGAAATGGAATGTAAGCCATGTGTACAAATTAAAATCTTCTAGTACCCACGTTTAAAAAGAACAGGTGGCCGGGCGCGGTGGCTCACGCCTGTAATCCCAGCACTTTGGGAGGCCGAGGCGGGCGGATCACAAGGTCAGGAGATCGAGACCATGGTGAAACCCCGTCTCTACTAAAAAATAGAAAAAAATTAGCCGGGCGCAGTGCCGGGCGCCTGTAGTCCCAGCTACTCGGGAGGCTGAGGTAGGAGAATGGTGTGAACCCGGGAGGCGGAGCTTGCAGTGAGCCGAGATTGCGCCACTGCACTCCAGCCTGGGCGACAGAGCGAGACTCCGTCTCAAAAAAATAAAAATAAAAAAATAAAAATAAAAAAAAAAAAAACAAGAAAAAGAAAGAGAGTAAAAGAAAGAGAGAGAAAGGAAGGAAAGAAGGAAGGAAGGAAGGAGAGAGAAAAGAAAGAAAAAAGAAAGAGAGGAAGGAAGGAAAAAAGGAAGGAAAGAAGGAAGGAAGGAGAGAGAGAAAAGAAAGAAAAAAGAGGAAGGAAGGAGAGAGAGAGAGAAAAGAAAGATAAAAAAGAAAGAGAGAAAGGAAGGAGAGGAAGGAGAGAGAGAAAAGAAAGAAAAAAGAAAGAGAGGAAGGAAGGAAGGAGAGAGAGAGAGAAAAGAAAGATAAAAAAGAAAGAGAGAAAGGAAGGAGAGGAAGGAGAAGAGAACCGAACCCAGCCAGGGAGGTGCCCCAAGTTTGAGTATGAACCTAACTCCAAATTGCTGTGTGACTTTGGATGAGTTTCCACCCTGCTCTGGGCCTCCACTTCCCCACCCGTAAGAAGGAGCTGATGCTATCTGCAAAATGATGTGCTTGGCTAAAATCATACACCGTGACCCATTAGTGCACTGTAGAGCCGAGCAGAGCTCTGGCTGGGCTCTGGTAGGTCTAGGACCTTCGTGGGGCCTCAGTGGGACCGCCTGGAGCTCTGTGGCCCCGGGGCAACTGCAGTGGGCTCCTCACCTGGTCCTTGCCGTGGCCCCAGTCGTCGCCCAGCTCCACGTGTCTCAGGATGCCGTCCTGCCGGTCAAACAGGAGATCCAGGAGTTCAAAGCTGTCGATGGGGTCCATGGGGCAGGCAGAACAAGCCATCTGGGGTGTGAGGAACAGGTGTGAGGGTCACACGTAGCCCCTCTCCTCCCCACCTCCCATGTGCGCACAACCGCAGCTCCTTCCAGCTCGAGTTCAGTGGCCGCTCTGCCTCCAGGTTGGGCCAGCCACTGCCCCTCGCTAGGACTCCCCTTCCAAATCTGGACTTTGAGGTTGATAGAGAGAATTCCACGGTGTGAGAGCCAATTTCTTTTAAAGTGCTGGAGAGGCTGGATGTGGTGGCTCACACCTGTAATCTCAGCACTTTGGGAGGCCAGGGCAGGAGGATCACTTGAGCCCAGGAGTTCAAGACCAGCCTGCGCAAGATAGAGAGACCCCTATCCCTACTAAAAATAATTTTAAAAAATTAGCTGGCTATGGTGGCACACACTTGTCGTCCCAGCCACTGGGGAGACTGAGGTAGGAGGATCCCTTGAACCCACGAGGTTGAGGCTGCAGTGAACTATGGCCGCCCCACTGTACTCCAACCTGGGTCATAGAGCAAGACCTTGTTTCAAAAAACAAAAAAGTATGCCAGGCATGGTGGCTCATGTCTGTAATCCCAGCACTTTGAGAAGCCGAGGTGGGCAGATCACCTGAGGTCAGGAGTTTGAGACCAGCCTGGCCAACATGGTGAAACCCTCTCTCTATGAAAAGTACAAAAATTAGCCGGGCGTGGTGGTGCACACCTGTACTCCCAGTACTTGGGAGGCTGAGGCAGGAAGATCTCTTGAACCTGGGAGGTGGAGGTTGCAGTGAGCTGAGATCATGTCATTGCATTCTAGCCTGGGCGACAGGGAGACTCCATCTCAAAAAATAAAAATAAAAATAAAAATAAAAATAAAAATAAAAATAAAATAAAATAAAATAAAAAGTGCTGGGGAGAGGCCCTAGCTAGAGATGCCGCTTGCCTCTCAGGCCTTCACAGCCTCCCCAAGTGCCCACTCCTGGGAGGCAGGGGCACTTGGAAGAAAGACAAGGGCAGCCCCAGGGCAAAGACACACAGTTTTGCTCATTGCATCCTTTCTCTGGGCCTCAGTCTTCCCATCTGTACAATGGGGGTAGAGATGGGGTTTCTTGCAGCTCTGGCAGCTTGGGGAGGCTTTCCCAGCCTAGACTCCCACTCTCGCTGAGGACCTAGCAGGGCTCACCTTTCCAGAAGCTAAATCCATATTCATGGGTCCATCCAGCTCTGTCTGCAGATGCTTGGGCGGGGGTCTCTGCTCCAAGCTGGAGGCCCACCCACTGCCAGCGTTACCCGGGGCCGGGCAAGCTCACAGCCCTCTGTGGCTCTGTCACCACTCCCAAAAGATGCTGAAGCAGCCCTAGGCAGCTCCCAGCCCGCCTCCAGGTGCTGATTGGTGGACAGCGTGGAGAGACAGGGTTGAGAGCCAGTGACACACGGACAGGCGGGGGCAGGGGAGGGAAGACCGTTATCTGGGTGTTTGGTGGTTTTCCAGCCCTCAGTGGGCAAAGGTCGAAGTCTGGGGTACCTCAGCTCTGCCGTGACCTCTCCCCCACTTACGAGGACTTTTTCTTTTTTTCTTTCTTTTTTGAGACGGAGTCTCGCTCTGTGGCCCAAGCTGGAGTGCAGTGGCACCATCTCATCTCGGCTCACTGCAACCTCCGTCTCTTTGGTTCAGGTGATTCTCCAGCCTCCGCCTCCTGAGTAGCTGGGACTACAGGTCCCTGCCACCACGACCGGCTAACTTTTGTATTTTTAGTAGAAACGGGGTTTCACCATGTTGGCCAGGCTGGGCTTGAACTCCTGACATCGTGATCGGCCCACCTCGGTCTCCCAAAGTGTGGGGATTACAGGCGTGAGCCACCGCACCCGGCCAGTTAACGGAACCTTTTCTCTTCAGAATTCCTAGATGGGTTCTGGGATAGCCCAGGGCCCTTACATGGGCCCCGTCCACTCCCTGGACAGAAACAAACCAAGAGGACCAGCCCAGATCTTCACTGAAGTCCGTTTTCCTGCCAGCAGCTCCCATCCTTCACCCCACCTGCCAACCTCCAGCCCCCAGCCCCCTCCGAGACCAGCTTGGACTCCGCCTCCGAGTCCCCATGGCCGATTCTGTGCAATCAATTCTCTCTAGAATCTTCTATCGTTCATTGAGTCAACAAATATTTATGGAGCCAAACTGGTCCCTGCTTAGAGCCTTTGCACCTGCTGGCCCCTCTGCCTGGAACTCTCCTCTCGTACCCTCCCTCTTCCCCTCTGGCTCTAGGTCACTGTATTGACATTTTCGTGAATGTTCGATATTTGTGAATCAGCCCAGGTGGCTGAGAGGCTGTCTCTGACCTCCCCTCCACCCCCCACCAAGAGAGAGGAGCCCTGCTTCTTTTTTTGGTGGTGGTGGGGGACAGGGTCTCACTCTATCACCCAGGCTGGAGTGCAGTGGCACGATCATAGCTCACTGCAACCTCCAACTCGTGGGTTTAAGTGATCCTCCCACCTCAGCCTCCCAAGTAGCTAGGACTACAGGCGTGCACCACCACATCTGGCTAATTTTGTTTTTTTATAGAGATGGGGTCT